CATGTTTATAAAATTATTTCTACTAGTATATGAATGGATGATTACCTTCTTACCTTCTGTATATATAAGATAATTTACAAGAATTCTAATTGGATTTTTTATGCTATGCAGATGCTTTTTTGTAGAAATCTATGATGGTATCATTTATTTTAAGAAGTTGTTTATTTACTTAAAGCATTATATTTGTAAGGGGATTTGGTTTTGTTTTGGATGTTATACACTATGTTGAAATAAGGCTATTGTATTTTGTGATTCTTGAATGGTATATTGAATACTGTTAGTGAGCTGGGTTCATTGAGCTTGTTAGTTATATGATGTACCTACACTTGTTGACTTTTTCAAGACTCGCAATATTTTGTATGAATTAAAATATTTTGGTTTTGGAAAGGGCTTGTAATAGGTGCGTGCATGTTTTTTCTCATTGAGATGGTTTTGCAATTGTTTGTTCGTTTATAGATTTTTTAATATTATCTTGTTCAAAGTTCTATTGATGTTTTAGATGATCAAAAGGTCTTTAGGTGTTTGGTAGTGCAAACTTATGATTGTGTTTTTTAAGGTGAGGTGGGGTAACTCTTGATCTATATTTTTTTTATTGATATTTGTTTTATCAGACTTGGTACAATGACTTTAGTTTTTCATTTATACTAAGTTTATGGATTATAAATAATTTAATTGTAGTTTAATGTTATTAAATATCGTTTACTTTATTGTGGTTTTTTTTTTTTGTTTATATGAAAACATATTTTATTATGATTATAAATAAATTAATATTAATAATTTAAAATATAATTTAAAAAAAATTTACCAATGTCTTAACATTTATATTGATGCACTTGATCTTTGGAAAATTTCAAGTGATACTAACAATCACCAAAATATAATAAAAAAATTAAAACATATAAGTCTATATTAACAATCTCTAACCATCGGTAGATGTAAGAAAATTAAAGCACACAATTCTATACTAATTGTCTCTAATCATCGGTGTAGGTAAGAAAATTAAAAAAAAAAAAATACAAGTCTATATTGACGGATGCTATATGTCGATATAGGAAAGATAAATTACAAGTCTATATTGGTAGGTGTTAACTGTCGGTAGAGGTCAAAAAAATTAAAACATATAAGTCTATATTGACGGGTGCTAGCTGTCAGTATAGGTGAGAAAATTAAAACATACAAATATATACTAATGGGCTTTAAGCATCAATATAGGTAAAGTCTATACTGACGATCATTAACCATCGGTATAGGTAAAAAAGATTAAAACATACAAGTCTATACTGACAGGTATTAACCGTCACTAAAAGGTATAATGGTGGAACACACAAGAGATGTTATACCAGTAGATATACATTTACTAACAATCTTGAATCGTTAGTATATCTCTGTAAGCTATTTCGACGCCTTAAAAACTGTCAGTGTAGGTCTATACCGATAAGGGATATCCTTACAGATAAAAATTCATCGGAATACACATTTTGACTATCGGTATATGGTTTATGGTGCTATACTGATAGATTTTGGGGTTTTACTGACACTTTGAATGTCACTATATGTTAGATTTCTTTTAGTGGAACAGAAGAAAAAAAATGCTGTTGTCAACAAAAGAAAGACGTTGATTACCATGAGATTTTCTCTCTAGTGGTTAAATTGACTATAAGCATAATGGTGCTTAGGCCAGTGGCAAAAGAATATTTGCATCTACAACAGATGGATGTACAAACTACTTTTTTTCATTGTGACTTGAAAGAAGAAATGTATACACAAAAACCATAGGATTTTAAGATTCATGGAAAAGAAAAAATGGCTGGGAATCTATTAAAAAGTCTATATGATTTGAAGCAAGCTTCTGGTATGAAAAGTTTAATAAGTTCATATGCAATAATGGTTTTTTGAGGTATCAAGATAATCATTACTACTATGTCAAAAAATTTGATGGCTTTTATATAAGCCATTTGCTGTATATTTGATAATATGTTAATTGTCAGAGCCAACATACAAGAGATTTAAAAACAAAGAAAAAAGGTTGTTTAAGGAGTTTGCAATGAACAGGCCTACATGGCTAAGATGCCTTATGCCTTTACCATTGGTAATCTTATGCATGCAATGGTGTGTATCGAACTGGGCATAATAGAGGCAATGAAAGTTGGAAGCATATATATAAGTAATCTGGGGAAACAACATGGAAAGCAATTAAATGATTTCTAAGATATTTGAGAGGTATAACAAATTTAGCTTTGTGCTTAAGAAAATCAAACTCAGGCTTACATGGTTATGTTAAAGTCGACATGGCAGGTGATTTAAATGGCAAGAAGAGCAATATTGGATACGTACTACACATTTGATGGTACAACAGTTAGTTGGATATCAAATTTATAAAATATTGTGGCACTTTCTACCACTAAAGCAGATTATGTTGCAATGATAGAGGCTAGCAAAGAAATGGTATGGCTTCATCTTTGTTGGAAGAACTAGGTCAAGGGTATGAGAGAAGTCTGTTGTATTGTGACAGTCAAAGTGTCATTGACTTGGCAAAAAGTCTTGTCTATCATCCAAGGACAAAGCATATACAAGTTAAGTATCACTTTATAAGATCAACTTTGGAAGATGGAATCAAAGAATATTTAAGAGAATCAAAATCTCATTAGTACGTTAGCGAAGACAGTAACAATTGAGAAACGAAAGTTATGTGCAACTTAAACTTTTCTGCTAAGCATTGAGAAATTGCAACTGTGATAGGTGGTTGATGATGAGTTAGTCTCCAAGTGAGAGATTGTTGAAGTGTAAGTGGAGACAAACTCAAAGCCACAATATTTGACGCATTAAAGCCAATCAATATGAAGGAGAAAAAAAAAGAAAAAAGAGAAAGGAAGCAATCCTATTGGTAGAAGCAACAAATTATAACGAAATAAAAGAAAGTGAAGAAGAAATTTGTCTAGCCTTGGTTGGCACTGAATGTAGACTTTGCCAAAGGAAGATGAAGGACTTTGCCAAAGGAAGATGAAGGACGCCAAAAATGAAGACTTTGCATAGAGGAGCAGTGCAACAACCTATAAATAGAATAAGGTATCGGTGTAGAGATGTGCTAGCAAGGGAAGAAAAATAAGCGTGTAAAGTAAAAGTGCTAAATAGAGTTATGAGGTGCCTAAGAATGTATATCTTTATAGAGAAATATTTCTTTGTAATATCCTTCTATCATAGTGAAATTCGTAGCAATTAGAAGTGAGTGTAATTTTCATATTGAGAGTGAATCGCTATAAATCTTATATGTTTTTTGTGCTCCATTTTTTTTTTCATTTATTATTGCTGTATGAGATTGGAAAAAAGGGTACTGATCCCCAAGAAAACAGTCTGCCTCCATTGCCATGAGCAAGGTCACTACATCGTGAATAGTGTGGATTCTGCTCCATTTTGTAGCAATATCATGCTTAAAAAATCAAAAGCTAGTAATAAGATTTGACCAAAGTAAAATTAATTTCGCATTTTAGTCTTGTTAATTTTTTATTATTCTAACATATTTGTTGTGAGTAATTTGCTTATGTCACGGCGACCAATGGTTGGCCTTGCTGCTAACCATTAATAATAAGGTTAAAATATTAAAAAAATCTAAATTATTTCATTTTTTAAAAATAAATTTTTATAATTTTATTGTATTCAAATAAATTTTTATTATTTTATTTGTATCAAAATAAATATTTATTCCAAAATTTATGTTAAAGGCTAATTATTTAAGTATAAATTTAAGGGTAAGATCTTATTTGGATACATATTAAAATTTAAAAATTTATTTGGATGCAAAATAAAAATTAAATTTTTATTTGAATGTAATAAAAATATAAATGTCTATATAAGAAAATTGATTAAATTTAAAATTTTTTGTTATTTTAGCCTTATAATAAGCTAAAGGTATCTACAGTATTGAATAAGCGCTGCAGATGTCCATAAATTTTTATAATGCTTGTCGCCGGCAGGACACAACTTGGGAAAGCACCTTGATTGATCAGTTCCATGGATTTCCATTAATTTTTCTGTACTTTGTTATATCCGCTCTTTCTCATCTTACAGGTATATATTAGAATGACGGGCTATTGATGTGATCCCTTTTCTTGAGTGTCAGCTACGTAATTTTATTCAATAATAAAAAACATCATGGCCTATTCTTTTACAGGAAGTCGATTTTATACGAAATGAGAAATGGACCTTTTTAGATTTAGCGGAAATAGAGACAAAAATGGAAAATCACATGCGTCAACTACATGAAGTAATGAACTTCAACAAGCCATCCTATGTAATTGTACTTGATTGATTTTCCTATTGCTTAGAACTTGTTTATTTTGCCTTCTGCAATTCTGCTTCCGTTCCTGATCTACATTTCCCTCTGGCCTCAACCATAATAGTTTTCTGCCTTTCATCATCCTCTTGTTCGTGCACAGTAATATCGTAGTATGATTTTCCTTGTAAATTACTAGCAAGAAAATGATAGATTTGATAGCCATTGCAAAATGACAGTTCAAAAAGAACACTGCACTTGAGCCATCTAATTTAGCGGTTGAAAAATGTGATTATTCTCCTGCCACATGATGAATTTGAGATGCCAAGGTTGATCGATAATGTTTACCATTCATTCATTAAGAACCCTTTCGTTTCCAAGTCTTTCCCTTTAATCATTTTCCTCAAATGTGCATGTGTCAAGCTTCTATTATGGCGGAACAGGGAAGCATTTATTATGATTCCATGGTTACTAATCCTTTTAGCATGCAAGCATTAGAAGAGAAATTATCTCTGATTTGGACAAGACAAAGAAGCTTTGCAGTCGTACAGAAAGAGATAGAATTGTCTGATAGTCTAATTTTAATACAGAACAAGCAGGCACTGTGGAAAAAAAAAAAGAAAAGAAAAAACGACTCTACAATACAAATTCTTTTACAGATCCCAAGAAATTAACCTTGGGAAAATGCAACTTCCCGATTCTTTTTTTTTTTTTTTAATTCAGTTCCACCCTATACGGGCTCCCAAGAAGGAGCGTTTCGGCTGAAAAACCTTCCTACCACCCTAGAATCTAATATATTTATGGCCTCCTCAGATTTCATGCACCTTGGTGTCTTATATTGGTTAACAGAAGACCCCTGAGATACACAAAAGTCCATGAGTGCATCAAATGTTCCATGTTTTACCACTCTTATCTCTAATGGTCCAATTGAATGGTCCTTTCTCCTGCATCTTCTATAAACAGAATCAAGTGATTCTTCCACAATGAAGCAGCACTGCTCCATTATCTTAGGATCAAGTATTGGCAGATCATTACTCCCTTTATTTGTGAGCTCCCAGAATAGTACATAATGACCTGGAATGGAGGAAGTGTCAGCATAGCTAGTGTACTCCATCAAGAGGAAGCCAAGTGACTCAACGAGAAGCGTTACCTTTGTCACTGCCTTTAACAGGTCTTCCTCATTGGTTTTGTCTGTGTCAATGCATAAAACCACATTCCGCCGATGCACAAATCGAAATTGAGGAGCATTATTGTGGAATCCAGTTGCCATGAGAATGTCTCCAACTCTATATCTATACAGGCCTGGCAAAATTGAGTGAAGTAAGGGTCAAAAGCGCCATATAAAAAATTTTGATTGAAGAGACATCCAAATTTCCATATGGAATCGGTAGAATTTTCAATTTTGTTTTCATATTAATTAAAACCCAGAAAATTGATAGATGAAAGAAACAAGTGATAAAAACGTAAATCCTGTCGGGAAAAACTAACCTGTAAAAGTTGTGACAAGAAGTTCGTAATATTGCCCAAGCTTTACATCCACGAGATCAACAGTTTCAACATCCTCCTTTTCAGTCTCTTCTTCCATGCAATTTTCTTTGCAAACACCATTCAACTGGACATCTTGAGTTGCATCTTCATGGGTTTTCTTAAGTGGTAAGAACTCAAAGTAGGCCATATTGGGGACAAGGGTGTAAGAGACATCCGACGGCTTGCTCAGTGGTTTGAAATTAATTCCAAAGTAACATTCTGAAGAAGCATACATTGTCGAAACTAAAGGTAGCCCTCCACTGTAGAATTCAAGAGTAGATATATATTGTGCCATGGTACCTGTAACTATGACTTCAATGTATTTCGTTCTAGGCTAGAGTTTCTTAATTATCCCTTCCCATGAGTTAGTGCTGCATTCATGTTCAATCAAGTCGGCTATATGCGAATTACATTTACTTAGAATTAATGACACAACTTTTCTGCAACTGGGGTCAGTGATCCAGTCGCTGAGATGACCCGTTCTAATGTTAGAGCAGAGCTCTTTCCAATAATCTTCCAAGAATTTGATGGCCCGTAAGAAAGCAGAAGCGAAAACTGCACCTACTCTCAAAACCTCTTCTCGTTGTACTAAACCGCAAAGTAATTGGCAGTACATGCTCTGCTTGCTGTCAGAGCACAAGATTGTCTCATCAGGACTGGTATAAACATTGAAGCGGTTCAAAGGTCGATTCTTGAAGTTACTGCTCTTATAGTAGCTTGTTAGGACAGGCCTTGCCATTAGACCAGAGGGAGTTTTAATCTCTGGCTTAACAAACAATAGATACATTGCTTTTCCTTCGTCCAAGCCGTCTACATACCTGCAATTAACAAGTTTTCAAGTTGAACTGTTTAGTGGCCTGAAGTTTACCGTGTACTACATTTTACTGAAAATAGGTAAAAGTTGAAAAGTCCATCATGACCTTTTGTGACAAAAGAAAAAGAACAGAATTGGAGCTAAACTGAAATAAACAATAAAATCAAGTCAAAAAGAGAAGAAAAACAAGAACAGAATTGGAGATAAGCTTTTTACTTGTTCATCACAGGCACAAGCAGATTATAAAAGAATGTCTTTCTGTGCAAGTCTTCAGCAGTTGAAGGCATCATCTTTGGCAGCCCACCAGAAGTGCCAGAGCTGCATCAAAAACAGATAAATTGCTTTCATGAAGAATTAAAGGAAAATTACTGAAGTATACTATACAAATTCAGACACTTTTTTAATCTCACCAAAAAAAAAAGGATAAAAACAACTTGTATACCTTGTGAGCAACTCAGTTATTGGTTCAGCAGAAATGATGTTTGATGAATCCCCATTAGCAATTCGCTCAATATAAGGTTTGATATCTTCGTAATTCACCACAGGAACCTTCTTTTTGAAAAGTTCCTTGTCATACTGTCCATTCAGGAAGCTCTTCAGATATTCTGTATGCGCATTTCGTGTTACTATCTCCACTAATACCCGCTGCTGTATTTGGTGAACATTTTCTGTCAGGTCCTCCAGAATCTTCATGCCAGCTTCATTGTCATTAGGATCGAAATTTGGCAACATCCTTGGCAATATTGGTTGGCAAGGATGACCTCTGGATATTTGATTAACGTCTTTGGTTATTCTAGAACATGTCCTGAACTGCTGTTTAACCTACAAAAAGGAATAAAAAAGTTTCAAGTCTTTGACCACATAAGAGACAAAGACTTTAGAGCTGTGGTCTCTTTTCTTTGAACTGAATTAAAAGCAACCTTATCAGCCTAAGCAAGGACAATGAGAATGCTCAGAGAACACAGGCATAGAACATACGGCTGTACAATTTATGGGGCATGCTCTCATATTTAAAAGCCTAGGCCCTCTCTCTCAGTAAGAATGTGTTCATGGGGAACTGCGGATGAAAGTTGGAGGGGGAAATGAATAAATAACAGATTCTGGAAGGCATTTTGGAAATGACGTATAATAAAAAAATTTCTCCCCCAACCCCCCTCCCAAAAAAAAAAAAAAAAGGAAGGAAATATAGGGGAAGTAGAGACTACGGAGGTCCTACACACGTGGTCTTGTCTACTTAGCTGTCATTAGATGCGGCTATTGCTGGTCAATACGACCTATAAGCTACAGGTCCCTATTTTTCCCATCAGAAAGTTATAGAATTAGGAAGGTAAAAACATACGAATTCATCGGTTTCGATCCGATAATTTAGGGTTGGTTTTTATTTTTTAAAAATTGGGTATCAGTTTGGGTCGGAAAAGGTAAAAAATTTTTGGGGTTGGGTTTTAGGTAAATCCGATCTTACTCGACTCGATATATATAAAAAAATTATTTTTTTAATTTTATATTTAATTATATATATTTTTATATATATTTAATTTTATATTTATATTTAAAATAATATTTTATTAATTTCGGATCGGATCGGATCGATTTGATTTTATATAATATCGGATCAGGTATGGATACGAGTATTAAAAATAAAAAAAATTTATCGGATCAAATCTGGGGCGAGCAAAAACCCGTCCCGTCCCGACCCATTGCCACCACTATATAGAATCGATTAAACAAATTCTTGTAGCATTTCAAATCCAATCACGGGCTCTTTATAGTATGTGTTTAAGATAAGCCTTAGTCAGAACTCAGCACATCCATTAAGCTGCCAAGACTCAAATTTTGCGTGGAATACCATAAGATTAGGAAGATGGCATGGGAAGAAAATAGGAATGATTAAGAAAGAAATCTAAGTATGCATGAAAGAATAAGACAACGTTGCAATCGTGAAAGCGCCCCCTTTACAGATCCTGTATAGTGCCATTGCCAAGAGATCCTAAGGGGAAACATATATTTTATAAGTGGGGGGCCTCCTCACATTATTCTACTATATATATAGTTGTTTGCAAATTGTTAGTAGTGATTTTAGGTGGCATTACAAATGGAAATATGCGTCAAAGAAGAGAATGAATAGATTACATCTCTCATCATCGCCATATTAAGCTAGAAATGTGTTTCAAAACGTCTATTTAGCTGACGCTCTGGTTGATTCCAGGCTGCCAAAGAACTGTATGCAGTTTGAATGACATGGAACATTTTAATAACCTCTTTGATGTTATGAAACACATTTCTGGGTTGAGAAATGAAGCCTCTTTGAGATTATCATCATTCTTGATTTGATACCAGGGCTGATATTTTAAACCTCCAAAAGACAAAAAGAACTTTTTTTCCCACTTATGGTATATTTGGGCAAGTGATAAGATTGGTTTAGGTCATACTAAAAATAATAGTTACAGTAAGATTAGTTTATAGTTTGAGATTGGTTATGCTATTATAGTGATAAAATTAAAATTAATAATGAAAATCCATGTTTGAATATAAATGCAGTGATGATGGTGAGATTAAATATAACTGTCGATTATGTCACCAAATGTAAACGACTATCATAATTGAAAAATATCTTATGTATTAATTTTACATTAAAAGCAATCAACTGTCCTAGAGTTTAACGAACCACTTAACTTTTCTCCCTCCAATCAAAAACTAAAGGAGCAGTGAAATTTTTTGCCCTCAAGTGCATAGTCGGAATACTATCTAAATGCATAACACTTATATAGTTAGGAGCAAAAAATAGCTTGGATTCTATCACATCAGAGGTGTAATGGAATCCAAATGACTTGTCAAGCGATTTTCAGAAACTACAGTTGTATGCTGAGATTATATTCAGCTCGTACATGCTGCTAGACACACAAGTTCGCCTCGCAGGCTACTTTTAATTTTACATAACACGTAGCATACAACTTTAGGGGAAAAGGAAAAAATGAAGAAAAAAAGGACTGTTGGTATTGCTTTTTAGAAGAAATTGATGTTTTAATTAGAAATTAAAGACGAATATATGAGATAGATAACATAATGGGACTCAAGAAAAAGTTATTTCTCCATAGAATTTAATGACCAAGAGAACACGATGATTCAATCCACAGAATTTGATTGAAGAATAATTGGATATTTTCAAAGATACCACACAAATTCAATATTGTTAAGCGAGGCTGGCCTGTGCTCTTGCATGACATGTTCACTTGTTCACCACATATCCATCTTATCATGGCTCTGACAAACAAATTCCGTTAGAGATGATTCAATCCCTTCACGCACAAAATATGCAAAAAACATAAATTGAGAATATAGATATAGGTTGTCATGTAAGTGAATCATGTGTCATGTCAGGGGACCCTACCATGGAATCATCAAAACTAGGATTGGAAACCGACCAGTGGAACCAATATTTCATAAGGATCTAAACCAGGAACTCTCCCAGTTAAGCCATGTTGGATAGTTAATTTAGGGACTCCAAATCAAAAAAGTGTTTCCTTGCATCTGACTCACCTGGTAATTGAAGGATCCAAGGACAAAGCCATGCCCCTTTCTTAACGATTCGTCTCTTTCCAGCTTCAACCATCATTCCTGCTAGTCAGAAGAAGCAAAAAAATTAGTGGAAAACCACAAGAGTTTCTCTGGAAAGAGAATCGATTTTTACATTTGGCTAGGAGGCTCCAATGTCTCTTATAACTGCAAAGGCCATGGCATGTTGCACCACATTACAGCACAGGGCAGGCCTGGATGTGAATCTTTCAACTATTTTACTTAATCAGGTAAGCTTAAATATCATGCACAATAACAGGGCTACATAAGTCTTGCTTCCAGACCTCCAACTTAACCTTAGAATTATAGATATTTCGACTTCTCTCAAACCCATCATCAAGTATAAAATGTTCCAACAAATTGACTTCATTATTTTTTTTTTCTTTTTCGATTTGTTGATATTCCTCAAGAATTTCTAAGTACTTGTTTCCACAGACCTGATTTCTGGATATTGAGTATCTAAGCACAAATCCTTATTAATTTGTTAACCGTGGTTCAGTAAGAACACAGAAGAACAAGAATTATTAATTATTGATAGTATAATTATCAACCCGTTTGTTTAAGACATACATATCGGGATTTGCCAGATATTGTTTCAGAGGTCTTCATGTTCAAAGGTAGAAAACAACTTAGGTGCCCTGCGGGGGGGGACAGCAGACCTTAGAATGGGCAGGGGCAAAGGAGAAGAACAAGGGTGGGCGGGAAGGTTTGGGATCTTTCCCCTCTCTCCCTCTATTTATATCATTGTTGACCAGAGCAATTAAAGTTTAGTTTTGATCTAAGAGATAGGGAGTTGAAGCCAATTGAAATAATTCAACGAAATTATAATATTCTTCAAAGTTGATTTCAGATAAGAACTACTAATAAAGAACAACAATTCACCCCTTCTTGCGGCTAATATACCTATCGACTACACACGGTAAGCAATTTTTTTTCCACTTTTTTTTTTGTTTTAAATCACAAAACTACAAAACATGTTTGTCCATTTTTTATTTTAGGATTATGTGTAAATATCAATGGACTAATTCAGAATTTTATTTAATTTATTCATATAATCATTGTTAACAGATGTCATTTACTAAGTTAAGAGTTTAAACTCAATAATTGTAATATTTTTTACATTCAGACTGCAATTTCATATATAAAAAAAAATGAAATGAACAAGTAATATAATCCTTGTTTTAGTTATTCTACCATCAAAATGTATTTAAATGTTCTTAGTATAGGAAACCTTGGCATATGCCGAAAGGCAAGAGGCTTTGTTCAAGCACTTAAAAAGTTTTGAGCTTTTAATTTCATTATCTTAAGCCAAAGACATTGACTAAAATCACCAGATCTAAAAGCAAGTAATGTTGAGTATAAAAAAGAAAAGGAAAAGGAAAAGCCATGTTGGGAATCGTAGATTATGAGTTTATAAAGCAAAGGATCACACGAAGTTATCTAGGGCGGGCCATTGCTACTATTAATGGTGAGGCGCTGGCGAAGAGAAACGGATGAAATGGGCTTCTTATGTTTTCTTTGAGAGATCAATTGGCATTCAATGCTACTGGTGCATTTAGACCGCCAAGATAGTCAACTCTATACTTTGGCATTTCATGAATTTTTAAATTTTTGCCATAATTATTGAGGACAATTATATATGGCTTTTTAAAGTTACTTTATTTTTGTAACATGAAACAAAAAATGTTATATTGCATTAGGTGCCTTGAAAATGCATGCGATGTGGGATATCATGGAAAATTATATGTTAATAGTGCTATAAAGTACTATGAGACTAAAATTTTCCCTTGTCCTATATTTTTTGGTGAGATTTTACCTTATAAGATTTATCATAAACCTTATAGTATTTTTCAATTGTTAATAAAATAATGACTATCAAAAGCAATTTTCTTTCCATAGTTATATGAACCCGAGTAAGTATTTCAATCTTGCATTGCATGTGACGTCTCAATCATTTGTTATAAACAAAAGCACAAAATGAGACATTCAGTCATTAGAGCATTCAACAATATATTGACAACATATGTTAGTAATTTTATTAGGGTTCGGTAAGCAATAGAAAAAAGTAGTGCATGTTCTCTTGGTTAAAGGAGAACATGATCAGCTTGAAAATGCAAATTCTATTTTCGAGTAAGAACTAATGCGGAGGTTATGCATATGGAAACTATTGGATCCTAAGCAGAAGCAAGAAATTGTTGGTAGTTTAGAATGTCGTGAATCCCACATTGAGTAGAAAGATCACTTATATATGGTTTAAAAGAAATCATTTATGTTATTTAAGTAATTGAGCTAAGTGTTGGAGTGCGTCAAGTCATTTTGGCTTACTAGAAGTTTTTCTAGTGGGTCAGATAATTTTAAAAGTCAAAGATGGGCACTTGGGCTTGTTTGGCAAATAGATTCAATTTTTTAAATCTTTATTATTATTATTATTTATT